CTCCACACTGATCCCAGGTGCTAAAGCCGGGGCACCTGATCCAAGCTGGCTCAGAAGGGCTCCACACCATAAGCATCATGCTCACTATAAATCAGGAGGTTTGCTGGGGATGTCTCTTCTCCTGATGGCAGGGAGGTCTCGCCCATCGTTCTGCTCTCGAGGCCGCTCTCCTGTTTGCCGGACTGTCGTGTTTTCGCTGGAGCCATGGTGCTTGTCATGCTGACATCCGCCACTCACTTGCTGGGAACATGCAGCTCGCGGCCGCTACGTGGGCTAAGTGTAACTTTGTGTACTTTCTACTGGTAGTACTTTTACTATTCGTTCTTATTATTTTATTTTATTAATTCTGTTTCCCTTTCAAGCCACGGGTCTCTTCTATTCCTGATTGCCCTTCTCAGGTTGGGTCGCTGGGTGGCGGAACAACTGGCTAAGTGAAGACAAGCAGCAGCTCCTTCAGAGGTGAGAAGATGGTTGGTCTAGTTTCACCAGTTTCTTGAAGGTAAAAACACAGGTGGGACAAAATCTTCCTGTCTTTATAGCATGAACTGCACATTTTTCTCTGGCATTGGCAAAGACTATTCCAACAGGACAAGTAAGCCTGTCTAGGACACCCAATGGAGCAAGTTACCCACACCACAACTGGAGATAAAAACAAACATGCAAGGGCATGGAGCCCAAAGACAGTGGAGCACAGATGAAAGCACACGCACCCAGAGCGCAGCAGGGTGTGCACCGCTGGAGGCACAGCAGGCCCAAATGAGGGTCTGTGTTTCTCAGTTTTACAAGGTAAAAAATGACAATCACGGTGATCTGTCTTCTTGGCCAACACATGACCCCACCGTCATCCATGAATTTCCTACCATGATCCTCACATGGTTTATCACTTCTGGCTGAACTAAAGTGTGTCCTTGAAAAATATCTAGTCCTTTTTTTGCAGATGGCACAAAAATGGTGGTACAGAGTACATAGGTACACCGGACTCATTTACCCCGTTCCTGACAATGGCAAACAGTAAATGCCTAGAAAAGATGATAAAACCAGGGCAGACACAGTGATAGCTCCCAGAGCGCTCTCCTAGCTCATGGTGATTTGTGATTCAGAGCCCCGTCGTGACAGAGGTGTTGGATTTGTGTTTAATAACCTTTGATGGATTTCTCTTTTGCAACTTCCAACAGCCATATATTCGCAGTCATGAAATTTAAGGCCCTGAAGGACTATTAATCCTGCACGCTCACATATGACAAGAAGTTTCACACGGGCCTCCAATGATCTCTGTTACACAAACCAAGGGAATTGTAACATATTGGAAAAGCTAGCCCTCTGTAACTTCACCAGTTTATCACTTTCATCACTAAAAGCATGTCCCCATTTTCAGCTGGAATTATCTGTTGCAGTTTAAAGCTGGTAGTTTTGTTGTGCCTAACCCCTTTAGTACGTCTTTAGTAGCCAGCATTTTTATGTAGTAAATGTACTTATACACTCCAGTCAGATCACCTCATAACCTTCTAAGTAACTGGAGTTCACAGAATCCTGGACTAGTTTGGGCTGGAAGGGACTTTGAAGACCATCCAGTTCTACTCCCTGTTCTACTTCCTGTTTAATACAGCATTACATTAAATCAGATGGCTTTTCGGGTCCGTAATGGGTGTCTGATCACCTTTAGCTCAGTATGTAACTTCAAAGGCTCAAGTCAAGTTGTTCGCCAAGTCTTACTTGCTGTCCAACCACCTTGACTAGTGTTAGTTATACAGCAAGGCCAACTACACCAGTTTTCTCATCAGTCAGCATTTCTGGTTTCAGTTGTTTATAGTCCAATGCTGGGTATCTGTAAAGGGACTAACATTCGTCTTGTTTGGTGTAACACTGGATCAATTTGTTCAAGATTCACTTTGATTTTTTTCTTTACAACATCTGCCTTACTCCATTTTCAGTTTACTATCCCCAGGCTATTCCAGCTAGAGCGGAACTGTGGAATTTAACCCGTCTGCCTGTAAGACACGAGTTGTTGCTTTCATACAGCCTAAACTCACCTGGGGATGGAAACTTTTGATCAGAAAACCAGAATCTGCAGCTTATGGAGTCAGCAATTTGCTGGCAGCATTTCCCGCCTTTCCTTTCCCACAGAGCCAGATTGGGAAAAAAAAAAAAAAAAAAGTTGGCTTCCGCCAATTTTCTCCCAAGATACCAAATGCTCCTAAGAGTTCCAGGCTCTGCGTAGTATTGCGTCTCTGTCTTAACTCACTGACACGGGCGGTCACTTGGCAAGCAATGACCCATTGCAGTTATTTGTTTTCTGTCTCTGTGTTGTTTAAATGGCAGTCCATCAAACCTCACTATCCTGTTCCTCATGATTCTCTTTCTTCTCTAATGAGCTCTCACTAATAATTCTAACTTGCCCTGTGTCATTATAAAATCTTCTCTGTAGCAGCTGGTTTTACATCACAGACGTCCCCAACTGCTCCTCCCCTACAGCTTTCAGTCTCATTACCACAGAGGGAGATTTCCTGACAGTTAACTTCCTGCATCTTTTTCAGCATTTGTTCATTCCGCTTGGTTGCACAACACCCGTTTTGTCTGCGTTTGAGCAGACAGACACGCAGTCACTACGGCAGGCAGCAGCAGGGTTCTTACGCTGTCCATCTTTGCCATCGGACAAACTCGACAGGAAGACGGTTGCCTTACATCAAGGAGCTGGCACCAGTGCCACACCGCTCGGGGCTCCCCGCACCTCAAGGATGGAAGATTATCTCTGCTATTCCATCCTTACAGTGTTAGCTCTAATACATCCTACTTAAAATGATACCATACACACAAAGTCTGAGTGCCCCTCCACATGGGATCATAACGGATCAGCATCTCCTCATGCCAAACAACCACTCAGAACAAGAAAAGGTTCCCTGGTTAGCTTCTCTTGGTCTCGCTCCTTGAAGGGTTACTTAGCAACAAACACGCATCCCAGTAAGACGTTCAGCGGAGACCTGACCTCTTTCCATGTAAATCCGGTCAAGACAACTTACTTTTAAAATAAACTAACCTGAAATTTCTATCCAATTTGAAACAATGTTCCAGACTTGCAATACTTCTTTTGAAGCATTTCCAATCTCCAGCATCTCTTTTGATGCTGACACCAGATCTCCACCTCATAGTCCTCACAGGTACAGCAAACACAGTCTCTCTCCTTAAGCAGGGCTTATGCAGCTGCGGCTGGGGTTAGCCACACTCACCAGCTCAGCCCACAGAGATTCACAAGTTTGTATCAGGGCTCTGGCCTTTGATTTCTAGGATACTGCCTGGAAAGAAGCAGCTGGTTAAGCTGAGAGCTTTGCAGTAAGAAGCTGGGTGGGGTCCTAATGGATAACAAGTCCAACTCAAGCCAGCAGCACTCCCTCGGAGCAAAGGCTCCAGCCGCAGGCTGCAGGGACTCATCGCCTTGCCTCAGCACCTGCGACACGTGCCCAGAGTGCTGCGCTCCCCAGTGCCAGAGAGGTGTGGGTATACTGGTGCGAGTCCAGCCAAGGGCTGTGAGCATGGGTCAGTAACTGGTGTCCAGAGCTGGGATTGTTTAGTCTGGAGAACAGGCTCTTGTCCAGGTCATGGATGGGAAGTACAAGGAAAACAGAAACAAAATGCTTCTCAGTGGTGTTGGGTGTCGTGACAAGAGGCAACGGGCACAGACTGAAATGCCAGAAATTCCATTTAAACAGGAGAACAAATTTTTAACTGTAGAAGTTCTTGTTGTGGTTACACTGGAACAGATTGCCGGAAGACTGTGGAGTCTCCATCCCTGGAGAGTTCCAAAATGCCACTGGACACAGTCCTGAGCAACTTGCTCTAGCAACCTTTTGTGCAGGGGTGGGGTTCAATGAGATGAACTCCAGAGGTCTCTTCTCAAGCGACACAGAATGAGGAAATCTAAAACATGACCTGACATGACTTCAATTTCTAGATAAATGATTTTGCAGTTACCTGTCTCATATACAGAAGTACATCTTGAAGGTGAATCATTCAGTAAACAGACTTGTTCTCATTTCTCCCCCCTGGCTAACCTTTGGTATCTGCAAATTCTTACCAACATTTTTTCCCCTCCAATAATCCAATATAATGAGTGACATTGGACCAAAAACCTGTTCCTGTAGGAGCGTACTGGAAACCTACTGCTGATCATTAGAAGATAGCTTTTCATCCATTTAATAGATTACATAAATGAAAACGTGGATATCAGTTGGCAATAACAACCCCTGAAAATAAGCCAAGAGCTGCCCCTTCCCACTAAGATGCCTGTGGCAAGCAGGTGGATGTACCTGATGGAAACCAAGTCCCCAGCTTGGCTGTGCTGAAGTGCAGGAGCACAATCAAAGTTTGGTGTAACTGAGGAATTTTCTGTCCCTCGGAACAGCTGCGCAGGCTCACTGCTCCCACAGGTGTGGGACTTACCAGGCAACCAAACTGCAGCTGAGCTGTGACATCTGCCCATCAGGGACAGAACTGTCGCTTTTCAGGGATAACTTTGCTGAAGCTGCAGAGATGAAAGGTGGTTGTTGGGGACCTCCAGACGGTTCCTGGTTGCTCTCTAGGGCACACAGTACCCCTGTGTCACACCATAGGTCTCAGCCCAACAGACGTGAGCTTGGGACACGTCAAAGTGATTTTCGTTCCTTCGCCTTCCCACATTACACCACAAAATGAATGTTCTGCAGCTGAGGAGCCAAATACAGTGAAGTGAAAGTGCACTGAGTGGCTGTCAAGCAGCCAACTAGACAGGCTGTGTTTGTGCCTCCTTGAAAACTAAAGGCATGAAGACCTAAACACACAGGAGGGTGCAACAACAGCACCGAGAGCAGCAACCGAGGTGACGCTGCTCCAGCACACACCCCGTACTCACCCTCTCTCTGCACTGCTCAGCAGAAGTGCTCGGCTTAAAGCAAGGTCAACGCTACAGCTTCTTTTACATCCCTCATCCCAGATGCTGTGAGGTTTACAAGTAACCACATGAGCCTGCCTGGAAAGAAACTTTTATTTATTTAAAAAAACCAAACAAAACCCCCCACAGAAACAGCCTCTCTCCACAGCCTGTGCCTCAGAGCAGGGCTGGGAAAGTCATCCTCCCGCCTTGACCTCACACGCCCTTCACCCATGGCAGGGCTGGGGAGGGGATGGAAAGTGCCAAGTGTTAAGGTGCTGAGAAGCTCTTGATGTTTCTCGTCTCTCAAGTGCTGTTGGCCTGTTCTTGCTCAAAGAGGGCCATGGCTAAATGTGAGCGGGACGCGAGTCCTTCCAGGCTACTAAGCACACAGCGGTGGTACGACTCCTCACTAAGCCGGGGACTGCAGCTCCTCAGGGTGTACTTCTGCACCAGCCCTGGCTCCACAGCCCTGAAGAGGTGCAGACCAGAATAGTGGAGGAAGACATCGAACACCTCCATGCTCTCCAGCACCTCATCTCGGTCCAGGATATCAGCTGCCAGCTTAGTACGTGCCGTCATATAGTCAGAGTTATAAAAGCAGGCCTCGGCAAAGGAATGTCTGTCAAAATGCCCATCCCTCAGGAAGTCCGTGCTGGAGGAGGCACTCTGCTCACCACGGTACACCAGGGCAGGGTTGAACTCCTGGAAATGCACTGGGAAGAAGACCTGCCAGTTGCTGATAGTGTTCATGCGGCAGGGGTTCACTGATTTCTGTCCAGACGCTGGCCAAGAAGAACAGCGTATCCACAGGGTGCTTCTTTGAGACTATATCCATGAGTTTCACTTGTGAGGGCACCTCCGTTTTAACACTGATCCAGGGGATTTTAACGTCAGCATAGCGTTTCTCCAGCTCTCCTACCATGGCTTTGACTCCAGCAAAAACATCCACCTGACTGACTCGCTGGGCATCGTAGGGATGGTAGATGAAAAGCAAAGTCAGCACAGCGTTGTCATGCGTGTCCAGCGTGTTCATAGCAAACGTATCCAGGAAGTTTGCCACAAAATCCAGGTCCTGCACTGTCAAGGGAAGCACCACCTGCACCCGCGTGGCCTCCGTCACATACGGCATGGGAATAATTTCCCCCTTACTTAAGGGCCGCACCAAG